ACTTCCAGGGATGGGGCATCCACAGCTTCTCTGGGCAACCTGTTCCAGCACCTCCCCACCCTCTCCGGGAACAATTCTTTCCTGATATCCAATCATTCTCCCCGCTTTCAATTTAAACCCGTTACACCTTGCCCTGTTAAAACATGTTTCCAGGATGCTCCAACATTTTCCCAGCCATTTTTATGCTTAATTACATTTTCTTCCCTATGCTAGGTTTGTTCCAGTGAAAGTACCCTCTGGACCAAGCGGTGCTCAAAGCCACTCTTCATGTCAGTGGAATGATGAGCGGAATCTGATCCGGCCAGGGGCAACACTTCATCTCCCACCCTCCACCTCTGAAGCCTAGAACATTCTGCGGCGGTTACTGAATTTCCCCAGGGAAACACTGCCCTCTGGCCAACGAGGGAATGGCACTGACGTTCCTGCATCCAAGTGAAATAGGGACTGGATAGGGAATATTTCTTTGGTGCAGGAGGACTGACAGCTGGACCCCCTGACCCCCGAGTCCGAACTGCTCTCAACCACAAGCAGAAATCACAAACTGCTCAAACCCAGAGCCTCTCCTGTGCCGAATTGCAGCTCATCCTTGACCTCCAGAAATTCCTTCCAACCATTCCGTGATGTAGTGATCCATCGTCTTTTCCTGTGGCGGGGCCTCGGCCCGACAGCTGCTGTGTTCCGAAGTTATTTCCCCGGCTCAGACTGACTCCGAGCCCATGGAAATAAAGCTGGCAAAATCATCCGGGTTGCTGCACAGCAATAAACCCCCCGCCGGGGTCTCCAGGAAGGATGCAGAGTAGGAGCTGACCATCCTGCGTCCCTGCATGCTGGGGCTGACAGCGGAAACCCCGGCTCCGGCCCCTCCGGCCTGTTGGGTACCAGGGTTGAAGCAAGGGCGGAACAGTGACCGACACAGACCGCAAAGCCAAAAAAAAGAGACCTGGAGAGGAACCACATGTGCCTAAAGTACGATTCTGTGATAATTTTACTCCTGACTGACACACCTCTCCCTTCCCTCTGCCAGAGCCCAGAACCTCCACCGAGGAAGGTGTTTAGGCAAAACAAGGAAACAAGGAACTAGCCCCAACCAGGTTCCGGGGAGACCTTATAGCACCTTCCAGTACCTGAAGGGGCTACAAGGAAGCTGGGGGGGACTTTTTACAAGGGCCTGCAGTGACAGGACAAGGGGTAACGGGTTTAAATTGAATGTGGGGAGGTTTAGATTAGATATCAGGAAGAAATTCTTCCCAGAGAGGGTGGTGAGGCACGGGGACAGGTTGCCCAGAGAAGCTGTGGATGCCCCATCCCTGGATGTCTTCAAGGCCAGGCTGGATGAGGCTTGGAGCAACCTGGTCTAGTGGAAGGGGTCCCTGCCCATGGCAGGGGGGTTGGAACTGGATGGTCTTTAAGGTCCCTTCCAACCCAAACCACTCTGTGATTTCTCACTGACGCTTCATTCTGAGACTTCGTGTTTATCCTCTGAAGCCCACGAAGCAGATTCAGCCTACTGGGTTTGAATTCTTTATTTCAAAATGTTTTCACAAGTAGCAAAAGTTTGGGTTTCTTGAGGAAATACCACAGAATCACTGTTTTCAGAATGACTACATGACACATCTGCTTTTCCACAGATCCGTATGAGGATAAAAAAGTAATATAAATATATACGTGTATATATAAAAATAGATGATTTGGTACGAATGTTAAACTAAGACCATTTCAGTGAGGGAACGAAACAAAATGGGGAAAAAAAAATCAGCATCACCACATTGTTAGGCCCCTTTTTTAAAGGCATTCAAAACGTTGACCTCCCACTGAGTGTGAAAGAGGGGAGACCCGTGACTGCCACTGAGATGTGTTTACAAGAACTACATCCTGTGTCATTCCCAGATGTCCCCCTTCATCAGCTTCCCGAGACAAGGCAGACAGGGACACGTCACAAGCGCGTGAGCTCTGGTTTCTGCGTAGGATACGTATTTAAAGCACCTATTGTATGTTTTAGGGCTGTTACCTCACTTTAATCCCAAAAAATGATGACAGCCTACAAATTGTAACTGCTTGTAGTAAAGCAACAGGCATTCCAAGCTCCAAACAAGGCTCAATTTGCCGAAATTCAGACCGGTTGTGGTAGAGCCTCCACAAAGAGGGGGCAAGGGGCAGAGGGAGACCGCGCGTTCCCCATCTCCACCCATGCCGGCGGGTCAGGGCGCAGCTGGACTCCAAGGGGATCCCTCGCAGCGTGCCAGCGCGGGCCATGGCTTCCCTCTAGCGTCTGCAGCGCGGCCTCTGCCTCCGCTCCACCTTACCAGCGCCCTGCCAGCCCTCGGAACAAGAGGAATCTGGTTTGGTCCTGCGAGTACTGACCCATAATTCATGTTTACAGAGTACCGAGCCCCAGGAGTGCCTGGGGATCAGAGCAGCCTCCAGAAACTCCTCTGTAATTAACATTTAACGATTCTGCCGAGCCCGAGGCAAGCAGCTGTCTGGGCTTCTGCAGGAAAGGCCTGGGGGCAGCAGGACCGAAGACAAAACTCTGAAACCCCTCGTGGGCCTGTCCAAAAACGGCCCCTGACGTCAGGTGCGTGAGCGAGCTCCGTCACGCTGGGGTCATGGGCCGGCTGCGCTCAGCCAGGAACCAGCACCCCCGCTACGGGCCCATTCACTGACAGGGTGGGTGAGGAGTAGGCAGGAGCACCCGTTTCTGCCCCTCAGCCCTGGGAATGCTTTAAAACCAACCAAAAAAAATACAGATGCAACCTTAAAAATGCAAACTAGTAAAACATTAAGCCGTAAAATCAACAGGAGCCAGTGGCTGAAGTAATCACAGAATCCCAGAACGGTTTGGGTTGGAAGGGACCTTAAAGACCATCCAGTTCCAACCCCCCTGCCATGCGCAGGGACACCTTCCACTAGACCAGGTTGCTCCAAGCCTCAATGAACAAAGCGGCAGAGGTCAAGCCACTGCAGATACATCCCCAAAATCCCTCTCTTCCCAATTAGGAAAGTGGTTGCTAAAACTCAGTTTAATACATCAAGGGGTCGCTTTCAGTGCTGCTGTGGGCAGATCCCTTCCCTCCCAGCCCTGAGCGGCTCTGCGGAATTCCAGGCGTCTAACAAGCAGAGCTCTACTGATGTTGCTCCCAGCCTTGCTCACAGAAATACCTTAATGAGCATGGTGGTGAATTAAAATATGCTCTTTCCTATTAAAGTAACATTATTCTGTCTCTTTTAAACAGCCCGATTGACAATTAAATACACTCTTCAATCAATATTTATCCCTGTACCTTTGAGGCATCCCAAAGCTGGTGTGGTTTGCAATGCTCCAAAAGGTGAAACAATTTAGGATCTGGACCCACGCAGGCACACAGCTCTGTTCCCGGTCAAGTCAAGGATACAGACCGGTTGGAGCGAGTCCAGAGGAGGCCACGAAGATGCTCAGAGGGCTGGAGCCCCTCTGCCATGGGGACAGGCTGAGAGAGTTGGGCTTGTTCAGCCTGGAGAAGAGAAGGCTCCGGGGAGCCCGTATAGCACCTTCCAGTGCCTGAAGGGGCTACAAGGAAGCTGGGGGGGACTTTTTACAAGGGCCTGTAGTGACAGGACAAGGGGTAACGGGTTTAAATTGAAAGTGGGGAGGTTTAGATTAGATATCAGGAAGAAGTTCTTCCCAGAGTGGGTGCTGAAGCACTGGAACAGGTTTCCCAGAGAAGCGGTGGATGCCCCATCCCTGGAAGTGTTCAAGGCCAGGCTGGATGAGGCTTGGAGCAACCTGGTCTACTGGAAGGTGTCCCTGCCCATGGCAGGGGGGTTGGAACTAGATGATCTTCAAGGTCCCTTCCAACCCAAACCATTCTGTGCTTCTATCGTTCTGTGGTAAGTCGAGGAGCAACAGTGTCCTGCACTTTGTTTAGTGAGGACTTTCACTGAAAAAAAAAAATTTAATACTGAATTTCTGCTAAAGGAGTGCTGTATGGTAAAAATTTAGTAAGATCTGGGAATATAAAATGCTGGTGTAAGGTCACTTAAGCATATGTGGCCGCAGTAGAGCCAGATGTGACCGACATGCTGCAAGAACGTGGTTTTCCTTACACTTCTTGCTTTCAATGAGCAAAAAATAAACACTTAGAGCAAATCTGAGTGACTGTCTCGGAAAATACTAGTGTCAAGGGATTTACCCCATAAATGAAGAGGAGACAGGCATCTTGTGATGTAACTTCAGGAGGAAAACATCCCCAGAAAATAAACCAAGCTCAGTAATTCTGCATTAGCTATCACAGGATAATTGCTCTAATTTTCAGATACTTCTAGGAATAGGAGAACCATTTCTTTATTGCATTGCTTCAATAATTAAAAGACTTCTGCCTTTCTCAAAACAAAGACTGAAGGGGACTGTCCTCCCTCACAAGACCCACGGGCACAGGCATTCCCCGTGCTGCCCCACAGCAGGGCTGCAGCGCAGGGCAGGCTGGGCCCCGCTGACAAGGCTGTCAAAATCTGTGATTCCTATGGTGCTGGCCACAGAGCAGGAAGGAGGCTGAAACCTCAGTTCCTGCACATGACCGGGCAGCAATGGGATTTCACTGGCATGTTAAAAATCCACTGATCCTGGATGTTACTGTAGCCATTAAACAGCTTTTAAAATAATAGGAAATATTTAAGGCTGCAGTTTGAGGCTCTGAGGTCTTAAGTGCTTACCACAGAGCCTTCTTGTACTGGACACTGCGTCTTTAAATGTGGATTTTCTGTATTTTCAGTGAAAGTGCTTCCTACACAAAACGCTGGATGCTGTGGCTCACCGACTCGGAGAGGAGCACCCGCACAGTTGCTTTATTTCCCCCTCCCAAGTCACAAAGAAGTGCTAGAGACAACCCATTGCTCCCAGTCGCAGGCTCCAAAGATGGACTGCAACCCTCCAGGTTCTGAAGCGGTGAAAGGGCCTGCGTGAGCGGCAGCGCGGTCCGAAGGCACGGCGGGGTAGGTTCCACCACAGCGCTCATCCCTCTGCATCACGGCAGCATGAGGGATTTTGCCAGTCTCGTCCAGAACCATTTTTTGGTGCAAGGATTGGTGTAATCACAAATTGTAATGAACCGTAAGATACTTGGGAACTCGTTCTTCATGCTTTTGCACTTGACAGGGATCAGCCGCTTGAGACGAGCACCTGAAAGACAGGTCACACAGGCGGAGGATTACACACAGCCACAGTCACATCCCGTATCCGTTTTCTCCCCAGGGCAGCAGACGCATCGCCAGATCCAGGTTTGGTCCTGATTTTGTCTCATCTCATTCTAATGCAACTAACTCTGCGCCTGGAGAGCGAGTTTCTGAATGGCCAGCCCTCACCCAAGCCCGCAGCAGGGCCCAGCCAGCACACGCAGGGCAGCTTGCGGGGCTGGAGCGACAAAGGCCTACGGAACCGCAGACGTGAAGGAGCAGAGCGCAGTTTCACATGGAACACGAACAGGAGCATACAGTCCTGACTACTTCCACGTGTCTGAAGAGAAAATGGAGATGCTGAGATGGTTTATCTCCAGCACTTTTTCCTTCTACCCTCACTCACTCAGGCTGCAGTAAGTACCTGCCGATTACAAGGGACTGCAAGGAATCGCTCTGCTCACATGAGCTGCTGTTCCGAGGGATGCACAAGATGAGACAACTCCCCCTGGGATTGCTACTGCTTAAGGAGCAGCTCTTCTAAAAAGGAAAGCTGAGGGGGACTTTGTACAAGGGCCTGGAGTGACAGGACAAGGGGTAACGGGTTTAAATTGAAAGTGGGGAGGTTTAGATTAGGTATCACAAGGAAATTCTTCCTGGAGAGGGTGGTGAGGCACTGGGACAGGTTGCCCAGAGAAGCTGTGGATGCCCCATCCCTGGAAGTGTTCAAGGCCAGGCTGGATGAGGCTTGGAGCAACCTGGTCTAGTGGAAGGTGTCCCTGCCCATGGCAGGGGGGTTGGAACTGGATGATCTTTAAGGTCCCTTCCCACCCAAACCATTCTGTGAGTCTGTGATTTATAGTACCATCTCAGATGCCTCATCTAGAAGAGACTTTACCGGCAGACACTCCTACCGATACTGCATATCCTCCGTACTGTCAGGCTGAGCTGCACGAACCCACAGACACACGTGCAGAACAGCTAGTGGTTAGAGAAAAGCAATCTCAACTGACTCGACAGAAGCAAATTGGTGGCTTTTCCATTCAGAATAAAATATACAGCGGATTTTTCCAGTCCAAGCTGAACATTCATTCCGTATTTTGTTCACCTATCCACAATGTCAAGGATCTCTGTAGAAAGCTGTGTGTTCACTACCTGCTTCCCTACTCTCAGCATTTACTCACACCCTGAATTTATTGCAACACTTCTGTCCTCAGCAGCGTATTTCCTGTACGGATCCTAAAGCGCTTCAGAAGCCTGGCACACGGTGACATCTCAGAAGCAGCAGCCTTAGCTAAGCCCCTCACTTGTGGTCATGCAGAAGGTCAGCGGCAGGGCAAGGAACCACGTCCAGGTCCCCACCTGCATGACAAAGTGATAAAGCCACCGTGAGCCGTTTGCTTAGGGAAGGGCGTTACGCCCAGGGTGGCCTTTCACACACATGAAACACAGGGCAGTGGTGAGCCCAGGCCTGAGACCGAGCTGGCAGACGTGTAACCATCAGTTATTTATCTTCTCCTTTCTCACCCATACTTATTTGTTTAAACGCATCTAAGGCTCCCCCTTGTCCTGCATTTGCGCGGTGCCCAGTAGTACAGCACTGATCCCAGCTGGAGACATTCCTCTGCTAAACATGACCATGTTGATGTGCAGTTGTAAATGGGATATTTGTGAGATCTTACCTGGGGAAAGACTAAGAGCAAATTTGGTCTGAAAATCACATTCCTCACTTTCCAGGTAATCATCTGAAATGACGACCACCATCCTCCGACACCTGAAGGTGAAGCAGTCAGGGGAGAAAAAAAACAAGATGTCAACAGCGATGCTTCTCATTCCCAGTGGCTGAAGTATGCATTTCTTAGAGTTGGATAAATGAACCCGCCTGCTGCGTTCCTGCAGGAATTCACCGCAGAGCAAGGACTGCCAATGCACAGGCAGCTATGTTACACACGAAAACCTGATTACAGGTACACTCACACACTAAAAACGAAGACACAGCAAAGCCCGGGCTGCCTGCGCAATGACTGCTTGACCCTCTGCCCGTATACTACAAGTGATGCCATCTGCCTGCACGCTGCCTTTAGGGACTGAGCATATCGAGTGCTTTTCTGCTTTAGTATGAACTGGACGGAGTTTTTCTAGCATCAGAATGAAATGGGCGGAGCTTTATTGTACTCCTATTACTGTGAATTCACCTCATTTCGTTAATTTGAGCTCTGTCCTCCAGTTTGTTGCTTACATTCATTCAAGGTGCCTGGTTGTAAACTACAGGTTTGGCTCTTTATGGAGGGCTACACTGTAGAGCAGCCAGGCCAGCGAGGCCTTCAGGGGGTCTCCGTTAACGCCAGGCTACCTCCCTCTGAAAGGCTGCTGTTAAAACCCAAATACCTGCCTTGGGATTTTTCTCGGAGCCTAATTTCTCTGAGCCCAATCCAAGGCCAGGATTGTGAGAGCAAACTGCTCCAAGACCAGTACTTCCCTGTTCACACCAGAAAGCACTTTCTCTATGTAAGCCTCTATCCGGGGACTTAACTGATGTGCCACAGCTCCCACCACACCCCATCCCATATCGCTCCGAAGGATCCTTGAAGTCAGTGCCAGAGCCAACACCAGCGCCGTGCCCGCAAACTCCATGCTTGGGGTGGAGCTAACTCTACCTGGAGCTGTACGACATCACCTTCAAGGATGCGACTGCAGGATACTGCAGCCAGAGAACAGGGATCAAATGTAAGCAGCATCACTACAGCGGCATCTCCCTTGTGAACACAATGTTTGGGAATACTCGTGTCTTCCTTCCTGAGCCAAGAGCGTAAAGCAAACCCCATAAAGGCATCCCTGTGTAATTTTACCGCTCCGCTGTCACCCCGCTGCAGACACGGTGGCAAAATGACCACAAGGCTCCATCACACCTGGCTGTCCCGACCGCCCACTTACCTCCTTTCTATCAGTTCTCCGCTGATGGACCACACGCACGTCCCCGGCAAGACGTCCCGATCAAATACGCAGAGCTTCAGTTTGAACTCCGTCTGTTCCAGCTCCCTGATCATCTCCTGGACAAACTGAAGGTCCTTCTGACAGTAGCAGATGAAGGCATCAAACAGCTCTGTTTCACTCCCTGAAACCAGTACAAATGTAACTGTCACCCGCTACTATAAATGAAGTTAATTCCCGCAGGGAACTCTCACCAGCTCCCACAGACTTCCCCTCAGAATCGGAAGCTCTGACAGCCAAACTCTGCCCAAACCCACAGAGGTAATTTAGCATTTTACCAGCCCAGCTCCCCTTCAGCATGGACTCCTGTCCCTAACAGGGCTGGCAGGAGGCAACGCGCTTCTTTCCCAGCCCAGGCCATTCGCATAAACCCACATGTGCCGGCAGAGCAGGGCAGCCGAGGCACAAAATCTGCAGAGGCAGTAACATTCAGCCAGAGGGACTCGAGGGGAGACAGAGCCTGGGAAGAGCCAGAGGGAGCGGAGCACCCCGGAGGATGCAACTCAGCCCTGATGCGCCGGGATTTCAGGAGGAGTCATGCATCTAAAATGTCCTTCTGGCTCAGGGTCCTAGTTCTCTAGTTCTGGTCACAGAGATTCAAACTTCCCAAGCAAAACCTTCCTGCGGGCCCCTCACCAGCCATGTCCTGACGCCCGCTGTCCACCGAGCTGAGGTAGGCCTTGAACTATGGAATCTGCAGTTTTGTCCCTGTACTGGGTTTG